GATGTGTTTCAACAAATTTCTAACCAAAAAGGAATTTTGAAAATTTTGACCCTAAGGGCTGTTTTCGCTGGTTGAGGCCCATATAAGCTTCACTAGCACCATTGATTACACAAGAGTTAATCTAGCCAGAAGCAGTCCATGGTATGTATACTTCAAATAGAAAGTATATGAACCCTGAAACCAACAAAGGCGGCAGGTACAACAATACACCTTCAAGCCGCCGAGCCCGTTGGCAACAGGCCCAACACTATCTTGCACAATTGTACCCACCAACCGAACTAGCAGGCACACACACACATACACACACACACACACACTTACCAGGATGGCTGAGGCCTGACGTAGACGTAGGTGTGCCTCCTTCTGTCCATATACATTGTGGGTCTCCCAACTCAGCGCCGTTTGTAAAACCATCCTCGTCGCTGTCATCGTTGCATATGTCAGCCCACCGTGTGGCTGGTGCTGCTTGATGAAACGCTTTTCCAAATTCATTGCCTGTTGCCAGAGTGAAGACCAACACAGAACTAAATTTCAACATCCCGAACTCCGATGTTGAGCCGTGGAAAAATAGCAGGCCCAACTAGTTTTCGCGCAATGCTCCTCAGCGACAGCACCAATCAAAATCAATACCCTCAAATCAAAACACACACTCACGCACGCACACACACACACACACACACACACGCCTGCACACACACACACACACACACACACACACACACACACACACACACACACACACACACACACGCACGCACATGCACACACGCACATTCACACACACACAGCCATCCTCAGCCAGGTTTAGCATTGATATGTTCGCACAGACACGCGGATCCGAAATCAATGCCCGGCAGAATTATGACTGGGTTTTCTTAGGCCCGATTCGGTATAAATCGAATTTGAAGAAGTCCAGAGATCAATAATAATATATTATTAATTTTCTGAATGGTCTGTACTTTGTAGTATCCCTTACCGCCACCAGATGGTAGCCCTCCGCACTCCATGGCGTGTCCGATAGACTGGCACGTCCTGCAGATTGGTGAGCAACCGCAAGCAAAGCATGCACAGGCAGCATTGTAAACTCAGACGTGAAAGCAATAATATTCACGACGTGATTGTATACATCCGGGTGTAGGTATGGCCAACGGACACACACACACACACACACACACACACACACACACACACACACACACACACGCACATGCATGTATGCCCCACGCACACACACACACACACACACGCACACATACGCACACACACACACATGCACACACACACACACACACACACACACACACACACACACACATTTTTTTACTAAGTACACAACCTACTCGTTAGAAGGGGAAAAGAAAACAGAATTATACAATAACAAAACAGCAGGGAGAGTACGGGCTGCAAAGCAAGCCTGTGCTGGTGAGGTAAGCCCCCAACACCGACCTATGGTCTCGGCGTTAACGTGGGCTTGCGCACCATAGCCTAAAAGAAGGGGGTGATTTAGCGCGATAAAGACAAGGGAAGGTGAGGTAGAATGGTTGAGGAGAGAGAGAGAGAGAGAGAGAGAGAGAGAGAGAGAGAGAGAGAGACAGAGAGACAGAGAGAGAGACAGAGAGAGAGAGAGAGAGAGAGAGACAGAGAGAGAGAGAGAGAGAGAGAGAGAGAGAGAGAGAGAGAGAGACGAAGAGAGCATACACACACACATGTACATGGAAACACATGCACAAGCGCACACGCGAGTGTTTTCCACATGATTACAGCCATCCATGCGGATAACGACATTCAGCCAAATGCCAAGAATTATGACCTTGTGGCATTTTGGCGAGGCGCTGTTATTCTGTCTCTCTCCTGCGCGTGTGCGCGCATTACGACCATATAAAAAACCTCGGGGGACCTCGGTTTTTATACTGGTATGTAATTGCAATAAATCCTTCGGCTCCACTTTTATTCAGAAAGTGACGGACCGTGATCACGCAACTGCATTGTAAATAAAAGGGGGTTTGTCAACTGACAACCGCTCTATTTAGTTGCAATTCACTCTTGGCGCATGCGCTGGATGAAAATTCTTTTACTAATGATGTCGAAAATTATACCGGTAGACGTTTCGGGCCAGCCACCCATCGTCACAACAATTAACAAGGGACGGATCTGGCCTTTATACGCGAGCCATATATGAAAAAAAGATTTCGCTGTACTGAAGCTACCCTTTCGCCCAGAAGACATTCAGCGGAAGGAGAAGCATTTAGTCGAGTGTTCAGGATTTTCGGTCAATATTGTGTCTGAACACACTCCCAACCTCAAGGATACCCTCGTGAAGTCAGTGTTGAATCCAACAAAGTGCAGTGTGACACTAGAACGAGTGAGGCGCCGAGAACAGCGGAGGCGAGGAAGACCGCTCAACCCCTGCGTCTCATGCTCCTCTGATTTGCTGAGCTGCATGTGTGATTCCCCCGGCATTATCTATATGATGAACTGTGTAGGAAGCGGTATGTCGGTGAGACCTTTCAGGGTCGCAAGAGACCGTATCGAGGAACACCACTACGAAGCACGTCACAGGATGCTCGACAAACTGTGGGGTAAACACATGGCTACTGATCACCAGCAGCACGGAACCATCAAGAGCACAGATGTGATTTTCATTGAGGCCCAAGTACTGGCTGTGGAAACACGAATGTCCAGAAGAAAAATCAGGGAGGCCATCGAGATTCGGGAGCGTCGTCCGGAGATCAATATCTTCTTCGGATGGCCATTGAAGGCGCTAGCACCCTCACAGTGAAACTGCTTAATCTTGCTGTGTCTGTACAGGGTTGTACACACAATGATTGTGGTATACACCTTCGTACACACATTTCCTGCGCTTTATCTGCTGAGCTGTTGCATACCCACTCTTTCAGCGCACTTCCCCTTGTCTGTTGTACATGCAAATTCATATGGCTATTGTGTGTTTCGTTTGTTTTGTACATGGATATACATACGCTCTCGCTTGCTTTCGTTATAAAAGGCCAGGCTCGCCCCTTGTTAATTGTGCGGACGATGGGCGGCTGGCCCGAAACGTCAATAATTTTTCGACATCACTATTTTAAAAGAATTTTCATCCAGCGCATGCGCCAAGAGTGAATTGCAGCTAAATAGAGTGGTTGTCAGTTGACAAACCCCTTTTATCTACATTTATTATTATGCATAAACACTACAACATCGGTGTTTATTATATACATATTCAGAACATTCATTCAAGCTCCATTTGCGGCGGCACTGTGCAAGCAATGAATCCCAAATCCAAATATTACCCAAAGCTCGTACTGGCTAAAAACAAAGAAATCACGAGACTCTGGCTCAAACACCATGAGTTCACAAAGAACGAAACAGCATGCTGCGCAGATTGAGCAATAAAAATAGAATCTTCCTTATTGGCCATGGACCATCGTGAAAACGAGAGAGCTTGGAAGCTTAGGGCCCTACGCTATGCTTTTTTGCCTAGCGAGAGTCAACTTTCTCTTTGCATTCGAGGGTAATACGACACCGTCGACCACCTTGATGACCTAGGCGAAAAAAGCACAGGGATGTTATAAATTTTTCATTTCTCCAATTATTTTTTTAAGACATAACCTAGGATTCGAACCCGCACTATCGCCCTGCACACATTCTCCTGTACAATTCGCATACATGCTCATTTTCCAAGTTGCTTCACGTTATGATTTTGCATTTTGAAAGCCCTATTTAAATATTGTGGCCAGCTGTCTTTGATTATTGTGGCCAGCTGTCTTTGATGGTACGAAACGGGACAGGTACGGGATAGCGCCAGGCATGCCGATGCTGTCCTTGATGGTACGGTACGGGACAGGTACGGGATAGCGCCAGGCATGCCGATGCTGTCCTTGATGGTACGGTACGGGCCAGGTACGAGATAGCGCCGGGCATGCCGATGGCACAAATAAACAAACAAACGAGAGAGCTTGGAAGCTCAGGGAACTACGCTATGCTTTTTTGCCTAGCGAGAGTCAACTTTCTCTTTGCATTCGAGGGTAAAACGACACCGTCTACCACCTTAATGACCTAGGCAAAAAATGCATAGGGATGTTATAATTTTTTTTCTTCATTTCTCATATTTTTTCGAGACATAACCTAGGATTCGAACCCGCACTACCGCCCTGCATGCATCTCATGTTTGGCATTAAGTGGTCTTTGTAAAAAAAATATAAAAAAATCCCCCCAGTATACTTCGCATACATACTCATTCTTCCAGTTTGCTTCATGTTATGATCTTTCAGCTGAAAGCCCTATTTGAGTATTGTTGCCAGCTAGCTGTCTTTCATGGTACGGTACGGCACAGGTACGGGATACCGCCAGGCATGCCGATGCTGTCCTTGATGATATGGTACGGGATAGGCACGGGATCGCGCCAGGCATGCCAATGGCACAAACAAACAAACATGGAATTAAAGCTGTGTGGACCCTGGCTAGCGCCAGACGTTACTGAAGTAACGTCTTTTGCATAGCTGCGGGAATAAAGAATAAATATAAGTTTCCGTGGATGGCACGGTAAGTGGAGTTAGCAACACACCAACATCCTTGCCATAAGCAACACTTGTACATGCATAACATGCATGCACTCCGAATTCCCGCGCTTCCGCCCGGGACTGTGCGGAGCATGCGCATTACTCCAATTCTCCATGCTGTTGTTTCTTGCTCTTCGCTTTGCTGCGCTGACGGTCAAATTGTTTGATAATCGCGGCCAGTTTCTGATCACCACCACCCACCCCATCATCTCTCACTAGCATTCCATTCGAAACCATCCCAAAAGGGAGAACAGTAAGGATCGTGAGTCAGGCCGGCATTGAGCCAAGTGCGCCTATATTCGCTCACAAGTGCATCCTTTAAGCCATCGCGTAAGGGAGAACTTTTAAAAATAACCGATGAGGAGACGACAGTCGTAAAATAGCAATGAAAAATATCAATTGTGCAATCATAACCATGTATAATCAATTAAAATGAAACAATTCCAGAACGTTTTCTTGTGACTATCATTAGTGGAACATCGTCACATAGTAAGAATCACTAAAACAACCAGTTATATAGCTAGAGCAATATGAAAAGAAGCGTGAGAATGCAGCACAGCTAGCGGTTATGCATAACGCGTGTAGTTTGAACCTTTGCAGTGTATCTGAGAATGGTAGCAGTAGATGAATGTGGCAGCTGTGAGTGCGTGTGGACAAAACTGGTGAGTGCATATTATTTAAAAAGTGGAAGGGAGAACGGTAGGGATTGTGGGTCAGGCCGGCATTGAGCCAAGTGCGCCTACATTCGCCCACAAGTGCATCCCTACTGCATGCTCGTGTATTGACATGTCTGAATTCAATAGTAGGGATCGTGCGTCAGGCCGGCATTGAGCAAAGTGCGCCTACATTCGCCCACAAGTGCATCCCTACTGCATGTTCGTGTATTGACATGTCTGAATTCAATAGTAGGGATCGTGGGTCAGGCCGGCATTGAGCAAAGTGCGCCTACATTCGCCCACAAGTGCATCCCTACTGCATGCTCGTGTATTGACACGTCTGAATTCTCGCCGGGCAATTGTTGCCCCAGTTAGTGTCGTCATTGGCCATACTAACGCACAGCGGTGCTTGCAATACTAGCTCTGGCATTGGACCAGAATATCGCATATTGTATGCGGCAATTGTTGCCTATCTCCTGGTAATACAACGCGTAATAGCTCCCAAACAGGTGGGCTTGTTGTGTGATTGGTAATTCAATTTAATTCAATACATGTATCTTTCACTTTCTGATCACCATTCACCAATATGCTGGGAAAGCTCACATGCATATACATATGCATAAAGTGACTACCACATTTTCCCCATTAAACGTACACGGCTCCAATACTAGTGTGTCTACAATTGTAGTACATTTTGAGTGCGGCTCAGAAATAGAAAAGGACACGTCTCAAATAGTAGTACACGCCGGAATGATGTGATGGGCATTACTGGGATACAGGTACTATGGCCCACCTTACTTCGTTTTTCTTACCCGTTTATCATTTTTGTGCCGTTGTTCACTGTTTCTTACCACGGTTGGTTGTATTTACAGCCTTGCAGTATCATTATCACGAGTTGTTTGCCACCTAACTCAGGCGATAAATCGTCTCTGTAAGTTTGTATCCCTGGAGTGGTGCTCTTCGGGCACAATCTTCCGGAGCCTACTCAAGCTCAACTGATGAGGGGTGAATTCCGCGAAACACTGTGTATTGAGCAGGGAGTGGTGGTTTCTTGCAGGTTTGCCGAGTGGAAGGCTCGATGGTATTTTCGGGTGTTCTGGATGGCAGTCGTGAGTCAGTCAAGTGAGAATTCAAGTCAGCAGGAATAGCGCAAGCTCCCACGTAGGGAGCAGCATACAATAGTGAGGTTCTCCTCTACGTTTCGGGAACGCGACGCAAAGAATCACGCGAACTCTCTTCGCAATCCCGTAACGTAAAGACATCCTGTTCTGTAGAGAAGTCACGTGGAATGTGTGCTGGGAATTTGCCCTTCCATATTTGGCAGTTTTCTGCCTGCCCTCGAATGCTACCCAGCAAATCCGTACTCATTTTCTTTGCGTGTGCCACAACGTAGAGAACCTCATCTCCGCGTAGAAATCTGGACACAAAACACGCGAAGCCGTAGACTCTAACCCAGACACCTGCTCTCTACGTGATTTTTCTACGTTTCACGTATACAAGGGCGTCGGAAGCGGTACGACTGGTACGGCTCGAGCCGTACCACTTTTGGCTCCAGGTACTAGGTGGTCAACGCGCGCGGAACGTCCAAATCCGGTGTAAAAAAATGGAGGTACTGTATCGAGTTTGTACATGACCACGCGTGATCATATCTTGGCTGTGTATTGTCCCAGCATAGAATGTTTTTGTGTTTGCATACGCGGAACCAAACCAGTGAACTGTGGCATTATTTTCCATTGCTTATACAGTCGGTCTCTTTGTACCTTTGGAGACCCTCTGAGAGGGGTATTTTGAGTGTTGCTTGAAAAAAATCTCGGGGGAAGTTTCAAGGGCCCCCGGATCCCCCTCTGACTGTTGAGCCGTTCCACTTTCTACCTCTTTCCGGCGCCCCTGCGTATAGCAGAACCTCTCTAATGTACATTTATTGGGGAGAATATGGCATGTACTAGTAGGTGCAGAGCAGTACAGCCGGAGAAGGTCCCAGTTACGCACGCGGCGCTTTATCGGTCCACACGTCACACGTACATGAGCAGCCACGCCGCCACCGAAATTATAATGAGTGTAATTATTCTGGCCGGGAAACACACTCTGGCTTATGTCTACACAGGGTGCTGGAAGCCGCACAGACACATTCAAGTTGAAATCATGAAAACTTACCCCGTCTTAGTAAATGGATTCGGCACCCCTGAAGCTGTCCCAGTCGCACCTGTTGTGTATGTTCCTAGATTCGGTATTTTCGCTACGTACGATTGGAACGAAATGGCGAATGGCAGCGAAGACAACATCAC